CCACACATTCTTCAATAAAATAATATTTTCCATCACATCAATAATTTTTTCTTCTTTTTCAACCACACATTTCCATCATATCACTATTCAAAATCAATTCTTCCTCCAAAAAATCCCTACCAAACAAACTCTAAGTAAGAAAGTGGATTGTGAGTCGAGTCAATCATTCGAGGAATGTTTACTTTTAATTATGCTACTCTAGTCAATTTAATTCCAAAAAAGCGACACTGACAATCTTTGGATTTTGATTTTGAAAATGAGAAAATAACTAAAAAATTTACAAAAAGAACAAATCTAAAAATTGAGAATTTGAGAGGATAAAGTAGTTGGAATTCATGATTTCTCTTAATCGTTACTTAATTAATTTCTTCACATGCAAATGAACAAATTACTTATTTAGTATTTTAGACCCAAATTTTTTATTTTGGCTAATTATTTCTCTCGAGTGAAATTAATCATAATTGATTGGTTTAACATACTATATCTCTATATCGATTAAAACCCAAACAATAGAAGTATATATATGAAAATAAGTATTTTAACATCAAAAACAAATATTGAAAACGATAAAATTAGGTTAAGCTAAATCAATCATCTCAAAACACACACACACACACTAATAGGAGAAAATAAATGATGAAATACAAGATTAAAGATAAAATTCCTTTTTAGTTGGATTCTTGAAGCAATGGTATGGATTGATCTTGATTTTTCCATAATTTCTCCATTTCATTTGAGTTTTTCTCCTCCTTTATGCACTTGTTCTTGGCCCTTTTCTCCCCCAAAATGTAAGTAAAAATGAAGAATGGAGCAATCAAAATGAGAAGTGGGGTATTTAAATGCCCCAAAAATGTCCAAAAAGTCCCCAAACTTGCCCTTTCCCCCGAATTACAAAAAGGGGGTAGATAAATAGCTGGCGCGGCCGCGCGGGCATGCTTTTGGGCTACTATGCAAATGCATGCCAAACCATGCGGCTGTGTCACCTTACCGTCATTTCTATGCAGTTTCAGTCCTTCGCCTAATTGGATGTCAAGTCCCTCAACTTTAATCTTATACATTTTGGTCCTCAAATTTTGACTTTTCTTTCAATTATGCCATAATAAACAACATCCAAATTCCTTCAACTTTTGGAACTTGTACAATTTGGTCCCCGGCTTCATATTTTTTTGTACGTTTTTAGTCCTTTTTCCTTTCCTTTTGTCTTTTTCTCCTTCAATTTGGTTTTTGCCTACAAAAGCCATAATTACAAATTGAGAGTAGAAATCCACTCCTAATCAATAATAAGCTCATTTTAAGTATCAGATAAGTGTGTAAAAATACACTTATCAAAGAACTCTAATACGGTTCTCCAAAAATGCATACTTATAGCTACAATTTGTTTTTTTAACCTTAGATTACTGGATATAGCATACAAGAATATTAAGATTGAAAATGAACAAACAATCAATTTTGTAGAATTCTAAAGGAACTTAGCAAATCTATATCATGTGAATAAAAACAGCACTAGGTTCTTCAGTGGATGCAAAGATTTTTAAAATTGATGGTAAATGAAGTAAAATGCACTTAATACATGTCTTGCATATTGGGATATCAAACCCTAAACCACAAAAATAAAACTACACAAACAAAGCTACAACAACAATTATTTGTAAAGCCTATTAATATAAAGATCAACGGAGATGAAATTTAAAAAAAATCTCCAACATATGGTATACAATATTATAACCTCAATTATCTAAGTGTTGGTTACAATAGTTTATACCGTCGGTTACAAGATTTTATACTATTTAAAATATAAAATTTATCTTTGAAACATTACTCTCGTAACTTTTATTATCAATTGGTTAAAAATAAATTTTAAAATGGATGGCAATTATGTTCTAGCGTAATTTGTTCAATAAGTTTCCATTTCCACCTATATGCACGCAGGTTATTTTAAAATATCGCTAGCAAACTTATAGCACGATCAATTATTTACCTAGTCATTAACAAAATAATTGCAAAACTCATGTATATGCACAAATATCAATTACTACATAAAAATCACATAATCTTGCCTTCTAATTCTAGCATCCCAATTTGGAAAATATATTTCCCTTTAGTGTTCATCAATTAAGCAACAACTTGTAATCAAATAATAAATCATGACAATCTTTATGAGATAATATATGTGCACATACTCCTCCTCCTTGCATAGCAAGAGAACAGCTCAACTGACGGAACAATCAGCACATAACTCGCTTCCAGCGGCAGGGTGGGGGTTCGAATCCTGGTGGGAACATGCGACCAGTTTTATTTGGTATGGAGCAATCACTTTGGAGGATGATCCATTGTGCGCAGAAGTGTACAGTTGGTGAGGGGAACCTGGGAACCAGTTGAGGCCTATCCCGCGATTTACCTCCTTCAAGGTTCTAGGGGCAAGGGTCTTGGAGGTCCAGGATTTAGTCGGCAATAAATTGGGACACCTGAGAATAAAAAAAAAAAAGATACAACAAGCTGTGATTGCATCCGGATTAATTCGGGTGGCGAACCAGGGGAGAAGGCCGCTACTTCTCAAGATTAGTCGGGCGAAGTTTGGACACCTGAGTTATAAAAAAAAGATACAACAATTTTCAAATCAATTGCATATTTATATTAAGAAAATAAGTATACACAGTACGAATACAGTATCACACAGTCATGTGGATCTTAGCATGACAACTAGATTAACCAACAATGATTGAAGTGTTAGATTATTTTTCTAAACAGTTAATACACAATAGCAAATAGCATTCAGAATTCAGAGAAATTGTGTACTCAAATCTTTTCTTGATAAATTTCCAGTTTGCTAATTTCTAATAACTAGCAAAAGGAGCCTTCATAGAAACCCTGGCCATTGACAAGAAATGTTCTAACTTTTGCCATCCTTTCTGGTGTTGCTATTGTGCATTCAATCCTCTGCCTCATTTTTATAATGTATAAATTTACTCTTTTAAAGTTTCGTACTGTGCAAATTGGTAAATAGATACTCATTAGCATATAAGAATATTTTATGGTTGAGATGTAACAAAAAAACAATTACTTGAATAAGACTTTTCAGTCTCTAGATGTTAACACACGAATTAGAGCAGAAAAAAAAAGCATTTAGGAACAAATCAAAAAGACGATTTTTTGAGTGTTTAAGTGAATAAATTTACAAAAACAAGTTTTAGGGATTTGTGTGAAGAACGCTATCCTAGAATCATGTTGT